AAGTACCTCCGGGAGGGTGCCTGGCTCTGCCCATGGGAGGCAAAATGTCTGTGCCCGCAGGCAAAGAGGCTGGCGGGGGGTGAGCAGGGGCCTGCCTGGGGCTAGCAAGGCACGGGGAGGGGGCCAGGCCAGCAGTTGCCCCCACCCACATGGGTGCTCGATACTCGCTGCCATCCTTTGCCAAATGTAAATAGTGACCGGTCTTGGCCGCGCGTGCAGCACCACTGCCTAATAAAGCGGTGCATGGTCACCTCCTGCTCTGTGGGGACCGCATGCCCACGTCCCAACACCTCGAGTAGGGGATCGGTCTGGCAAAATGGTGGGGAGGGGGATTTTATTACACAAAAGCTCTGAGCGAATTGATTTTTCCTTCGCTCTTGCATACACTGAGACCCGTGTGCCCGAGCGGTCCAGCCAGCTCCCTTGTCTGAGACACAGGGGACAAAGGATGCCGGTGGTCCCGTCCTCGCTATGTCTTTGGGACCCTCTGTGGGCAGCATAGAGCTGATTTTGGACTTGCCTGTTGTTCCCTGCAGAAAGCGTTGCTCTTTGGGACCTTTTGCCTCCATGTTTTCCTTCATCCCTCGTAAGTCTTAGGTAAAAGTCCTGAATTTCACAGATCTCCTGTTCTCCTCCTCTGAGTATTTAGTGGCTCCAGTTCTGCTCTTTGTCTTCCCCACACTGTCTTGGGGCCAGCTTGCTCCTTCATCTGGCTGAGGCTACATCTGGTGCTCTGTAGCATTTAACGCATACCTTGCCTTCTAACCTTGTTTCTGGTGTTGCTTGCTACTGTACTCACGCATGCACATTTCCTCCATCCATGCTTCAGACTAAGCTCGAGCTCAATGTTACTCCCCTGCAGCGTGTTCCCTTTCCCCTCCACTCCCTGGGTGGTCCCACTGTGCTCAGCAGAGGAGGGGATGGCAGTGGCAAATTCACTGCTGACCCAGCAAAACCTTTTGTGTCAGTGGAGCAAAGCGCTTGGGGCGTTGGTGGATGTGTTATCGGAGGCTTGATGAAGGCTTTGTGAAAAAGCATCATCGTCCAGGATGGAGCTGGTCCTGCAGGTTTGCTGGGGGGGACGGAGGTGATCGCTTGGACTGTGGGGACCTTGTGTGGGTGAGTGCTGCAGCCATGGCTGGAACCCTGCTCTACCATCTGGGGCTCTGGATTTTTCCAGACTCAATCTGTAGCTGGGGGATTGCTGTCCTGGCTGTTCATAACTAACAGCTCTGAGCTGCTGTGGGGACCATCGGGCACAGCCAGTGTGGTCCCTGAGTGCACGCTGCAAGTTGGGAGCCTGAAGAAACAGTGTTGGTTTGTTCCAGGATGCCTCAGCCTCTGCCGCTCCTTAAAAGGCAGCAGTTTGAGCTCATCGGGCACCCGGTGTCTCCTTACAGTCCTGCTTGGCTGCTGGCAGCTCCCCATCTGCCTCTCTCCATCCCAGGGAGGCATCTTGTCCGGCAGGGACGGAGGCGATTCCAGCTGGAGGGCTTTTCTCCTGGCACTGCCACACCAAAGCCTGCAGAAAGGGCTGGAGACGCAGAAATCTGCAGCGATGCTCTTGGGATGCCCCTGCCGCATTTAAAATGTTTCAGGGGCCCTTAGCAGCCCTGCTGTGGCTGTGCAGTCAGAAAACAAAGGCACGGGAAAGATCCCTGTGTATCGTATTGTGGTTTTCTTTTCTTGAGAAACGGTGGCAGGGAGCAAACAGCCTGGCAGCCCACGCTGACTGTACCAGTGAGCTTGCAGCCTTGTGGTGAGACCCTAACCAAGCAGCCTGGCTCCATCTCAGGGGCATCCGTGCTGAGCACTAATGGGTGTGAGACCTGTGTGCATCACACCAGCTCCTCAGAAACAGAGGTGGACCAGCAGGACTGCTCTGGAGCTGGGCTTTATGTCCAGGTGCTTCAGCAACTGTCAGTCCTCCCTGTGGCAATTACATCCCTCCTCAGCCCTCTCTTCTCCAGGCTAAAGAAGCCCAACTCCTTAAGCATCTCCTTCTATGTATGACATGTTCTCCAGCCCTGACCATCCTAGTGACCCTCTGCAGAACTCTCTCCTTGTACTTGGCGTCCAAAACTGGACACAGTATCTAGATGTGACCTCACCAATGCCAAATAAAGGGAAATAACTACTTCCTTTGACATGCTGGCTACACTTGTATGATAACTTGATTTGGAAGGGACCTCAGGAGGTCTCTAGTCCACCCTCCTGCTCCAAGCAGTGTTAGTGTTTGGGACCAGAGTCAAGAAGGGCTTTATTTGGAGAAAAGCAGAACTGCCCTAAGCCCAGCTAGGTTTTTTTCCCTTCTTCACAGCATTACCAGGAGGGACTGGACCCCAGGGGTGAAGAGGGCTGCAAATTCACTGCAACCTGAGGCCAATGCCTCCAGCCCAGCGGAGCCTCCAGCTCCTCGTGGGCTCTTGTGGTGGAGGAGGTCCAACAAGAAAGATGTAAGAGCAGGTTGCAGGATGCAGAGCCATGGTAAAGAGCCAGCCCACAGCTTGACGTCGGGTCACGGGATGGACGTAATCTCAAATGGGGCAGATCCAAAGAGGTCCTGGGTCGTGTTTCAACCTGGAGAGGTCTTATTTTGGGATTCCCACAAAAGGTGTAAGGCTCTGGGTCTGGCTGGTGCATTGCATCCTCTGTGATGGGAGATGATCAGGAACTCCCCAGAAAATTTAGATTGAATCTCTCTTGCAAGGGTATTTTAGTGCTACCTTTTAGAATCATAGAATGGTTAGGGTTGGAAAGGACCTTATAGATCATCTAGTTCCACCCTCCCTGCCATGGGCAGGGAAATCTTACGCTAAACCAGGTTGCTCAAAGCCCCATCCAATCTGGTCTTCAACACTTCCAGGGGTGGATCATCTACCACCTCTCTGGGCAACCTCTTCCAT